CATTTGGCGGAAGGGGCTCCGGTTATGTTGACCACGAACTTGCGGACTGTGTGGAACTTGGTGAATGGTGCCCGTGGTCACGTCGTGTCCGTTGCGCCGGCGGAGCAGCACCCCGCCGTGAGCGGTGATCGGGTCGAACCGGGGGCGTCCGCGGCTGAAGTTGGCGGCGTGTCTGCAACTGCCGCAGAATACGTCATCGTCGATTTCCCAGATTACGTCGGTCCGCTCATGGTGGCAGGACACCCGACGTGGGTGTGCATCCCAAAGCAAACCAACAGACGCGAAAAGTTTCGTGGCCTGGCTCGCACACAGTTTCCTCTCGTTTTGCGCTATGGCATGACGGTTCACAAAAGCCAAGGTTTGGCCCTGTCCTCAGGCTGTGTTTTCAACATGGAACACGAACCGACTTGGTCGCCTTTCAAGCAGATGTGCGGCCTCGCCTTTGTCGGGTTTTCGCGTGTCACCGACTTTGCATGATGGCATTCAAACACGTGCCGGATTATTGGTCTTTCCAAAGCATGGTCGACGCCGACTTGTTTCGATGGCGGGCCGAATTGGAGCAGCGTTTGGATGAGTTACACGATCGAACCGCTGAGATTATGTTTGAAGGTCGGGCTTCCGTGCAAGAAGACGTGCAACGTCATCGTGCTTGGTCTGAAAGCTTGAAGAGTGCGCAGATGAGTCCTGAGGAAGTGGCTGATTTGACCCACATGCTGTCTTTGCGAGGGGTGTTGCCTCAGCCAGGTTACACGGACAAGCCTGTTCGCCGCATGGCCGCATGGCTAGCAAAGCAGGTGGTGGCCGGACCAAGCGTAAGACCATGCGCGGTGCCACCGCGAAGACGTCCAGCTTGCCGGATGTGGGAGATGGGACCAGGGAGCCGCAGTGTGATGCAGGCGGTTTGTCGGCTGACGAAGATGCGTATTACGCCGAGCTGCACGAAGAAGAGGAGTTGGAAAAGGCAGGTTTTGAGGCATACTTGGAAGACAAGGCTTTGGAGGACGCGCGTCGCAGAGCGCAAGAAATCGCCGCTGATTTCTACGACGACGAAGGCTACTTCGATGATTATTAGGTCAGACGCTGCCTTGAGGACGCCTGCGCAGCTGCTCAGAAATAGTCCTGGAGTGTGCCGTTGTGGGCGGCTCCGCCAATACTTTCGTTCGCCTGCACAGCTTGTTGGGGGTGGTCCTGGAGTATGCCGTTGCGGGCTGCTCTGCCAGCACCTCGTTTGCCGTAGGCTTGGCTCCTTCGTGCTGCCTGCGGGGGTGCGCCGCAGATTCTCGTGAACAGTGACGGAGTACGTTGTTTCGGACTGCTCTACCAGCCTTCGCAAACATACGACGTGGCTTCGACATGGGCAGCGCAGTGAAAAAAAGCAAAGCTGTGGGCTGGGGTGCTGCGCTGTAGGCATGTGTTGCGCTGTAGGCATGAGATGTAGGCATGAGATGAGAGGAGAGCTTGCCTACGGACCATGGATGTCATGTGTTTCCGCAGCGTTGAAGCACTCATGCTTTTCTGTCCGTGGCGTGTGGTGGTGTGACCCGCGTCGCGGTGGAAATTGCAAATTCGAAGTCTTGTGTAACTACATTCACTCCGACGCGCGGTGGTGTGGCCCGCGTTCCTTGCTCTTCCCGGGAGGCATCGATCTGCGTGCGTCGCTGTGGGCCGCGCAGACAGCCGGGACATGCGCTTGCCTTGCCCCGATGAGGAACAGTTTCGTTGTTTTTGCGCGGAGGAGCACACCAAATGTTGGAAGAAAACACCACCCACTTCGCGTGCCCGCACCAGCTGCACTTAACTTTCGCTTGCAGATGCCCAGTTGCTTCAGCACGCCAGTGTGGGCTGGTGATCTTGCTTTGGCATAGACACAACCCAGTACGCTGTTGTGAGCAGCTGATCCTGCAGGGAGCACAGACCTTGCACAGGTGGCGCTGTGTGTGTGTGTGTGTCAAAAGTCCGGAGCGCATGCGTTTGGCTGAGTGAGGGACACGAGGGACACGCATGGTGGAGAGAACGTGGGCACCCCTATAGGTCAATGTGTTCTTATAGGAAACTTCCGCCGCCGGCTTGCCCGGGCACTGCTTGTAGTAGCAGTAGGAATAGCAGTAGCAGTAGCAGTAGCAGCAGCAGCAACAGCACCAGGAGTAGTAGTAGTAGTAGTAGTAGTAGTAGTAGTAAGAATTCACAGAGGTCTAGAGGCGGAGAGGGTTGTCTACAGATCTAGGGGTGGAGGTGTAGGGAGCACATGAGAGCGCACTTGCTGCAGCCCCCGCGAAATCTGCACTTCACAAGGTCTACAAAGTCTACAAAGTACTGTGCCTGCCACAAAATCTACACTTCGAGGTCCACAAAGCGCTTCGCCTGCCAACTCAAGAGCACTTCCAAAGACAGCATCAAGATGCCCAAACGCAGCTTTCGGTGAAGGACCAAAAACATTGAGCAAATTGTTTCAGGAGATCACACCAACTCGCCATCGATCCACGTTCGCCCCTCAATAGCCCTTCCACATCGTGGGTTGCTATGTACGACGCGCAAACAAAATAGCCACAAAACATGGAAACCACCTCACAACCACGACACTGGTTTAAGACACAGTGCAGGGGAAAGTAAATTCATCAAAACGAAGGAAAGCGCAGCAGCGCATCTACTTGAGCAAACGATCAAGCGATTGTTTCCGGCGAATACATTTCTTGAGACATTGATAAAGGTTATGACCTGTAATATCAGGCGGAATTATTTCAGGAGATCAAAGTATCACTTGCGGCGCCAGTCGCTTGTTGTAGTAGTAGTAGCAGCAGTAGTAGCAGTACGTAGTAGGTAGTCGGTAGTGGGTAGTGGGTAGTAGGCAGTAGCAGTAGGCGGTAGGCAGTAGGCAGCAGGGAGTAGGTAGTGGGAAGTAGGAAATAGGAAGTAGGTAGTAGGTAGTAGTCAAAGGTGTGTGGTGGTGGTAGTAGTAGTAGTAGTAGTAGTGGTGGTAGTGGTTGTAGTGGTTGTAGTGGTGGTAGTGGTTCAGGTACTAGTAGTAGTAGTAGTCGTCGTCGTAGTAGTAGTTGTTGTAGTAGTAGTATAGGTGTGTAGAAGTAGTAGTGTAGTAGTATAGTAGTAGTAGTAGTAGTAGTAGTAGTAGTAGTAGTAGTGGTAGTGGTAGTAGTAGTAGTAGTGGTAGTAGTAGTGGTAGTAGTAGTGGTAGTAGTAGTAGTAGTGGTAGTGGTCGTAGTAGTAGTGGTAGTAGTAGTAGTGGTAGTAGTAGTAGTAGTGGTAGTAGTAGTAGTAGTAGTGTGTAGTAGTAGTAGCAGTAGTAGTAG